CCATCAGGGGTAACGAATACAGTTTTAGTTCGTTCACTTGGAGGGATTTCAATCTGAAAGTATCCTTGGTACAAATCAAACATATTAAAGTAAATTGCACCTCTTACCGCCTCAAGGCAATCATCGATCCTTGGCATTGGATGAAAAATGACTTTAGTCATTCGATTAACGGCACGTAAATCATTTAATAGTCTATAAGAACCATCAGGTTTACTTATTAATAGAGCTGGAGAACCTCCTTCGGCTGTTGATATTTCGACAATATCATTATCAATAAGATCTTGAATAACTTTCTGATATTCTTTTCGAATGTTAATTGTACATGGGTAAGGCTTTTGGGGAATTGAATTGTCCCCAATATCGATTTGAATCGGCCACTTTTCCCACGGGACAAATCCAATATCTCCACGATGTTGACTGAAAACTTCAGGAAATTCGAGAAGAATATTCAACAATTCATAAACTTGTTCATTGTTAAGTTTAGAATCAAATTTCTTTTTTAATCTCTCTTCAAGAGATAAAATTGGTTGATCATTTTGAGTGAGATAGACAGGAATTATATTTTCAAATTCATTTGAATTCACCATCATTTCCATGAAAGCATTGACTTCGTACTTTCTGACCAACTCTTCATCTTTATAAGGTGTATAAGGTAAATGAGCTAAACCATCAACTTGAATTGATTTAGTTTTAACTTCAGGTAGAGTTACATTAGTAGGAGTCTCAGGGCGAGAGAGAAGATGAATTGATTCATCAGCTGAACAAAAACGAAATAGTAATTCAGGACTCAAAGGTTGACTAAAGTTAAACTCTTGTAAAGTTACTTCATATGAACCACCAAAATTTTTCAAATTTGCATGAAAAATGTCACAAAAACGATTACCAACGACCATCACTGGTTCCAAATCTCTTATCACCTGAAATTTCAAAGCTTTACAAAGTTTCATCGTTGGATGTTTCATGAAAGCGAAAGCAGCACCTTCGACTTGAAGTCGATTACTACAAATTCCCTTTATCGTTACATCTGAGGCCATTATATAAGCTTTCAATTGAAGAGCTAAATAGTAATCAATACATGCAGTGTTAGCTCCAGTGTCGATTAACACTTCACCTCTTTTATATAATTGACGATCAGGATAACATAAAGATAAGGTTACCGTTGGAAAGTTTTTAACTGTTGTATCAATTCGAGTTATCATTTGATTTTCGGTAGTTACAAACATGTAATTATCTTGATTTAAATCAGGAGCTTTACTTGTGGTTGTTGCATCAATTGAATTAGTTTCAATCACCATATTTGAAATTGGTCTTTGTTGAGTAGCATTAACATCACCAATATTAACCATTTGATTGTTTCTCAGATTTGCTGGTTGAAAACGTTGACGAGGTGGAAATCGACAATTTCTTGCCAAATGACCAAAACCATTACAATTGTAACACTTAATTGTCTTACTTTCATTTGATTTCATCTCATTCTGTTGATTAGTAATCTGATTGTTTTGTTGATTAACTTGATGAGGATTTAAATCCGATCGATTCTTGTTGAAACTTTTTTCTCTCTTTTCTTTATCGGCTTTGTTGTAATGTTGGTGAATAAGCACCGATGTAATATCATCTAAACTTGAATTAGCTCTTACATCGTACATATGATCACGAACAAATTTAGGTAATCTTTCAAGTACTTCATGAATAAAACCTTCAGGGCTCATCTTATCACCTTTAACCTTATGAACCAACTCTCTTAATCTCCTTATAAAGTTACTTGGATGTTCCTTAAAATCGTATCTCATTGCTGTCAATTCTGCTTGAGCAGTAGCCATTGCTGCAGGATTTTTTAGATACTTTTCCAAAGCTTCGACATAAGATTCATAAGTATGAGATTGTCTATCCAATGTATCAGCAGCTTCAAGAAACTCATAACTCATTGCTTTTTTGAGAACTCGTAATCGTGTATCATTAGTACAATCTTCAAAACTTAATTGTCTTTAACCGATTGTAACCAACCCCATTGGTCACTTCCTTGTACAAAAGCAGGTAAATTTGGACATTTACTTTCCCTTAATACCACCATTGGTTGTAGTTGAGACTTTCGTCTATTTGTTGAGAAATTATTTTCTTCGAAAACAGGATCATCTTCATTGTCACCTTCAGTTTCAATATACTTTGCTCTGTTAGCACCCAAACTGATTTGACTTCTTCGACTTGATCGTCTTCTTTCACTTTCAACTTCTTCTTCAGAATCAGCTAACAACTCACGAATAGTAGCATTTGGTTTGATTGTTGTCTTGGAAGTAGTCGGAATTGGTTCCACTTCAGGTTCATTCCATCGTCTTAAAAATGACTCGAGTATTCGCTTAGCTGGTGAACCAATAGACATTTTGGTTATATAACTTAATTTGACCATCGACATTACCGTAGGTTTAATACCAACTCTAAATATAATCTCTCGTATATCAGCTTCAGGAATAAAATTTTCTCTCATTTGATTAACCCAATCAGGAACATCAATACCATCAATTGAATCAGCACTTAATTGATTTAAATCATCCAGATCCAAATCCACGTTTATTAAACTTAATTGCGTTTGAGCAGCTTCTTTAAATTTTATTATCACACAATCATCAGAAACAGGAATCTTGATTTTCCACTCACTTAAATATCTTTTCATCTCTTGTGTGGTTAGATCCAAAATCTTCCCACCGTTACCTTTACCACCGTCGTTTTCTATCACCATGAAATTGTAATAACAATTGTCCATAGATGCAGATCCTGTCGACTGCGCCATTTGAAAGGTTTGATTGAGTCGTTTTGTTACCGAGAACTGATTTACATCAGATTGATAGTTAGACGCACACCTTAGGCCTTTCAAATCCCAAGATTTGGGTTCTTTTTGTGAATCAACACTTATTAACATTTTGATGTTACAATTCAATGAATCTAGAATTTTGGTAATTTTCACTTTAAACGTTGTACTTTTGTCGTTGTACCTTAAATATCATTAACTTAAACTTGAATTTAATCACTTTATTAATCTTAATATTAGAAAAATAGAAAACACATTTTACTTGATCACTTAGATTAATTCATAATCACTTCTTGTTACACATTTAACTCAATTTAGTTAATCAATTGATGATGACGATGATATTAATCAAAACTAATGATAATTAAAGGTAAATTGTTACTCTATTTATACCTTAAGAAACGGAAGGAAACTAATTTTAAAGGAAAAGACATTAAGTCGGAAATGGTCAAGTTAGACAATAACAAAAAAGAAAGAGAAAAATGAATAGAAAGAAAAGAAAGAGAGACAACTTGAGGGATCATTATCTCATTGAGATCGTAATAGAAAAAAGAAAGTAAAGAAAAATGAAGAGATTTGAATCTTTTAAATTGTAATTGGAAGAGGGTAAATTTATCCTTTCAAAGTATAGAAAACTATTATCATGATAATCAATAAAAAATGATTATCGATAATTGATTCAGTTGTTTCTCCAAATTTTCATGGTCCAATTTTGAGTGGACAGTTTTTTTTTCATGAGTCCACCTTTTCCCACCTTAGACCTCCACCTATTCAATTTGATTCTGAATGTCACTTAATTACTAAATCAATGTTGATCAATTCACTTGAGATCTCAACTCTTTTTCTCCTTGGACTAAGATTCACTGTCGATAATTCAATTCAATGATTTATCATGAAAATTTATCACAATCCAATTGGAAACTTATGCTTTCATTTGGTGATCAAACTTTTTTTTTCAATATAATCTAATACTTGCCAACTGAATCAAATTAATATTTGATCAACTAACGATATGGTTTATATATTTTTTCATCTCTATCATCATAATCATGATTATAGTCATTAGTTGAATTTAATTCACCTTGTAAATTGTTAGTAGATGTTTTTGTTGTTGTTGTAATATAATTGATGATAATCAGTTGATTATTTGAGGTTTCAAATGAATCGTTTATATCTGAAAGCAATTTGTAGGTTACAATTATCATCGTACTTAATTATCGTTAATTGTTGTATCGATGATTATCTTGACTGATTTCTTGAGAAATCAAAATGATTATCAAACTTGAAGCCATGTGTTTCTCATGATGATGTTACTTTATTTTCTGGTTCTTCTGGTTCTAGGATTTATCATCATCATGATCATCATCCGATTTTTATATTGAAGTTACATTGAATCATTGAGAAAATGATGATAATGATGATATGTTATTTTTGTTACGCTGTTTGTTTACTTATCCAATATTTTTCTTACCTTGATACCCATGTGAGCTATCAAACTTCTTGACCATTGTCCATCGACAGCTAGATAAACACTTAATACTCAATTTCAAATGAACGCATCAATAGTTAACCAAATTATAATCTGATTTGTTACTTCATTTTCATCGGTATATTAGTTTCTTAATTTCTTTTACTTGACCAAAGGAAGCCAACCAAATAACACTATTATCTTCATCTCCATCTTCATCTTCATCTTCATCTTCAATATTAAGCTTAGAAATGAAACAAACCTCATAAACAGAACGCCTTTTTTAACCTCTACCTTGTTAACCAATACAACTATTAATTTTAAATTGTCAGTTGACTTATCATCCTCATCTTTATCCTTGCCTTCATCTTTGATGGTGATTAACATCATTTTTAATCAAAAATTGGCTATGAAATCAAGAACAGATTAAATCATGATGGCAAACAAAAAGTAACAACGAGTAAATCAATCAAAATAAACCCATTAAATTAACCAGAAATTAATAGGTTAGTCTATTGATAGTATTGCTTATTATTATTTCTCATTTTCTGGTTACTCTTATTGTTATTTTCAGAGATTCGTTTCCAATTGAGTTTAATTTTTCTTCTTTTCGTCTCTCCCTCTCTTAATCTTCCATAACTTTTCATTTCCTTTTCCTCCTCTTGATCCTTTCATTCATAAAGATAAATATCTAATTGTTTCTTTAATTTCTCTTCAATTGATATACAGATACAAAGAGGTGGTACATCATCATCATCATCATCTTCTTCTTCTCATCATATTATTGTTCTACCTAATAATGTCCGATTAGCATCGGCAACAACTCGATCGATGTCTCAAATCTTAACCGGTGATAAAAGTGGATCTCAGTCTGTTTCGGTTTCCTGTTTATCATCTTCCAATGCGACCTCTTCTTCTTCCTCCTCCTCCTCCTCCTCCTCATCCTCCTCCTTATCCTCATCCATCGCCTCATCAACTATCCCATCATCTTCATCATCAACAACATCATCTTCAACAATCAAGTCAATATCATTAACATCTCCTTCATCGTTATCCACAGTAACCCAAAAGTACAAAAGGATCCAACCCAAACCTGTTTCCTTGAATCGAAGTAACTCCAATGTCCTTGAATCAACCTTCAATTACTCAACAATCAACGAGCATTCAACATCAACATCATCATCATCATCAACATCTAACAACAAAACTACCAACGTTATTAACTCAAGTCAAAACAGAAACAATAATAATGGTAATAATTTAAAATCAAATGAGGTTGAAGGTTTAATAGTTACTCGAAGGCATTCCCTGGCATCAGTAACATTAACTGGTAATGATTTACAAAGTACAAATAACAATTGTAATAATAATAATAAAAAAGAAAATATTAATTTTAGTAAACGTCGAGAATCAGTTCTAGGATTAATTGGTTGTGGTGTTAATGGTGGTGGTGGAGGAGGAGGATTAACTTCACCTTCATCTTGCTCTTCCTCTTCATCCTCTTCCTCCTCTTCATCTTCACCATGCTCATCATCATCTCCATGTATTAAAGACGAGCGGATTAGTCTGGATAAGACTCAAACAAAGCGTTCCTGTGATGTAAGTCGGGATTCAGATAATGTTTCCTGTAAGAAACGTTTAACCTCATTGGAGGGTTGTGAAGGTATAACAAACCTTTCAGGACTCTCTGTATCTTCCTCCTCCATTTCATCAACTTTACTTGCAACTACTACTACAACCACAACCCCAACTACCCCAACAACACCAACCATAAACTCTAATGGTAATCTAACCAATGGAATCATATTGACCCTTGCAAATGGTGATACCGATGGTGTTGGTTGTCGCATATCAGATGAAACAAATTCATCTTCAACTAGTCTATCACCTTTACCAAGTATGAGTATGACCGAGGATATTTTGTTAACTGGATTAACAGATAATGGATTAAATGACCTTAACGGTGATAATCATCATCTGCATAATCAAAATTTGCTTAATCAACAGCAACAATTAGGATTAATGAATATAACAAATGATAATAATAATAATAAAACGTCAACATCAGGAATGTGCATTAAACTGCAAGAGGTTGAATGTGATGCTTTAAATGATGATCGAAATGAACAACCATCATCCCAACAACAACAACAACACAAACAACTACAACAACTTCAACCAGGACAAAACCAACATCAAGATCAACAACATGGGGCCTCATCATCGTCCCTGATGGATTCATATGAAGATTGTAATCCATCCACTTTATCACAATTGAGAAGATTGTTAGAGAAAAATTTACCCAATTCAAAGAGTAGTAATACTACTGTTGGACTATCGTCATCGTCATCAGCAGTTTCATCCGATCACATTAATAGTAACAATGTTAATCATCACTCTCATCACCATAATCATCAACTTGATCATAATTGTCCAAATAATGTTAACAATAATGGAAGTCAAGAAATTATGGAGCAACAGATTGTCGGTTATGAGGGGGCAACTCATCATCATCATGAACAACAACAACAACAGCACATTCATCATCAACAACAACAGCAGCAACATTATCTCAATCATCTCCATAATATTAATGGTGATATTAAATCAGAGGAAAAGAAAGATATTAGTGGATCAAGTAGTAATACTTTTGGATTAGTTGAATCATCATTAGGCAAAAAATCAATCGATTGTAATAGTCCCATGGTAATTTCAAATGTAACTGATTCTGATTCAGTTGTTTTCATTTCTAATTCAATTGGTAACAATTCTGATGCTGATGGTGGTAATGATGCTAATTTACTGGTTTCATCCATGGATTATTGTAATATGCAAACTCAGGTTCCATCAGTTCCAGCCAGTCCGAATACCCGTCGACAAGCATTTAATTTTCAACCAATTTCATCAAGAATAACACCAACTATCCCGGAAAACAGTGCAATTAATTATGGTGAAGGGAATACCAATGGAATCCCGAATAATTCATCAGGAGTAGGAAACCTTAACAATCTGGTTAATGGGTCAAGTGTTAATGCACACCAATCTCAAGGGCAACTTCCATCGCCCTCTTATTGCCCTGACCAACGGTCAGTTGGTGTTGGTATTTCTCAGCCAACAAGTTCAGCAAATTCACCCTTTGTCTCACCTCGAGGTACACCAATACCTTTATCTCGATCCCGTCATGATAGTGGTCAAAGTGGTTACTCTGGATCACGAGCAACACCTTATCCTGTCCTCCTTGATTCTGGTCTTTCATCAATATCATCATCTCCCTTTATCTCACCCCAACCAACTCCGGTGCCTTTAAGTGGACGCATGAGAGCAATTTCCAACTCGTACTCTCACCATCACCACCATACAAGATCAAGCCTTGTTAATAGAGCGAGACATTCATCTGGTCCTGGTAATCCATATACCACTTTACCCTCTTCCATAACAGGAAGTGGTATTGGTATATTTTCAATGAGAAGTTCATCAGTTTCACCCATGGTTGTTTCATGTAATGGAAATGATTTATCTTCATCAACTAATAACAATCAACAAGGTGCAACATTGGCCAGTATTAATGCAGCTTTTGGTGAGACCAAGCAACGTACTCGAAATCAATCAAGTACAACAACCGGAACCACTACCACCTCTGGTGTTTCCAGTATCGGTACACCAGTTTCACCCAAATCAGAGCCTCTCTCACCTTCAAGTGTTCTTATTTCCGGTGATAACTTGTCAACATCCGATTTAGCCTCAATTGGTATTGGTTCCTCTTCATCATCATCAGCTAATGGTGATTCTTTTATGGATTCTTGCTTTTCATCTTCAAGAGATTGGCTAACCAATAATTCAAGATACCTTCTTTCAGGTTATCATGGGAATGGTGATCATCATGGTCATGGTATTTTAGGTGCTGGTGGTATTGGAGGAGGTAACAGTTTATTACATGGTGATTCTGGAAGTTCCCATGTTGGACCAGTCTTACGTCAGCGTCATTTCTCAAGTCCCTATGCTACCATTGCAAATAATGGTAATAATAATAATTTTTCCCTACATGATTCTCATTCCAAAGAGATTCAGAATCTACTGAAAGGCAGCTCATTCATTGAATCATTACTTTCAAATAATAACAATAACAATCACCATCATTCAGAAAATGGTTCAGGTGAAAATAGTAATATTTCAACTCTTACTGGTAATTTATCCAATGGTGATCATTATCATCTTACAGGTTCACCTTTAACTTCATCTGATCAACAGCAGCAACAACAACATCATGGTAACAATGGTCGACCTTTATTGAATAGATGTCATTCAGTTCCAATTCAGCATTTAGGTAAACTCTACAATGGTTTATCATCGGTTCCCTCACCATTGATGGATCATAACAGTTTTACTCCCTCATCGTCTTTATGCTCACCAGCTGATCCAAATTCACCACCCGATCGAGATTTTTCCACTCTATCTAAATCACACCCTCCAACCCCACTCTGTAATCCCAATTTCTCATTTCCTCCATTCTCACCGTCCAATGTCAATAACAATAATATCACCAATGGTTCCAGAAATAACAACAATATAAACACCAATTCACCAAATAATAATAATCTTGTTACCGGTGGAAACAATTCTGGTGCTAATTCAATATCATCACCAAACTCTGTTGGTTCAATCAGATTGAAACTTGTCGAAGAGGAAACAACATTGGGATCACTTGTTGTTGACAATAATTCATCTGTCTCACCCTCAAGTAATTCTGGTTTTCTGGAAAATGGTCAAGATGTTATGGTCTCTGGTTTAACATCAAAGGAATGGTCAGTTGGTGAATCAGTTATCGGCTCAGATGATATTGAGCTAACTGTTAATCATGTTGGTCATCATCATTATCATGATTCTCATCAGCAACAACATCATCCTGATCAAGGGCATCAACATCACTCTCATCATCATCTACATCATCATAATCCTCATGATCCTGAACTTTCACCAGGAAATGGTCTCCTTAATACATTTGAGGTTCGTCGAGCCATTGACGATGCGATTTCTGGTCCAACTCCGATGAGCGATGATTTGGAAACAACTCTGGAAGATCTTCGTGACTGTGATAATGATTTCTCCAAGTTTGCTCTCGAATTGGAATTAGAAGCTAATGGAAGTACTAAATATGACGACATCTAATTAGAAAGAACAATTAACAAAAACAACAATTAAAACGCAAGAAAACAAAATCGATCCAGCAAAGTTCAATATCCGATCAGCATCACACACACACACATAGAAACGACGATAAAATTGTCAAGACCAACAAAGATGATGGTTAAGAAGCTTAATTGTCATTGATTTGTTGATAGGAAACAACTAATTAACTAATTTTGTGATAAAAGTTCAATATAATTAATTACTCATTATTACTAAATTATTATATTGGATTTAAATTGAAGATAAACATCAAATTAATGCGACAAATCAAAAGCAAGAAAAACCCATCAACATATTGAAGATCATCATTTATATTCATAATCCTCATCCTCATCTTTATCATCATCTTCCCTCATCTTCACTGATGCTTATTAGTTATTATTTCAATTACATCATTTCTAAAACAATTAATCAATTATCATGATAATTTCTATCAATATCTCCCAATCATTAAGCTTATATATTTTTCATTCATTTACCTGGCAAAGCTTATGAGTAACAATTTAAATCCAAACACTTACAGAAAAAGGATGAGCCCAAATTAGCTAATTAATCAATTAATTAATATTGTAAAAAGAAAACAAATTAACTTTGGAAATTAATCAATTTCCAACATTACATGTTGTAAGTGTGAAAAGTCAAACAATTAATTAATCACTTGATTGTTGATCAACAAATTGCTTAGAAAAGAAAAACAAATTAACTAAATTAATCTTTTCCTCTCTCCAGCCATTTAAATTTCAATTGTAAGGGAAGATGATGATTAATCCTCATCATCATCTTCACCTCCACCTCCACCTCCACCACCTCATCATCCTCTTTCTTATTATTATTACTACCTTGAAATCATCTTCTCCCTCCTTCATCATCATCATCATCATCTTCCTTCATCTTCCTTAGTTATTTCTTATTTTATTTTCCAATTTTTAGGATATTTCAATTGAACTAACGACCATTTATGATTTAGAAAATTAATTAATTAAATCAATTAACCAATACACAAAAACAACACGAAAAAAAGGTGAAATAATTGTGATATTTGCCAACGTAAGGCCTTCTCAACAGGAAACAAAGGAAAGGACTTGTGAGATAAAGATTAAGCTTAAAGGATTAAGATTAAACCACCAATACAAAAAAAAAGAATCACAATCACATAGAAACAATTACATTCAACTCATCTCTTAATTATCATCATCATCTTTTGTCATCTCTCTCTCTCTCTTCACTTTCTCTCTCTATCTCTGTCTCTCCCTCTCTGTATTCATCTCGTTGTCAATGTTTTCTCATTTATATCTCTAACTCTTATCTTCTAATTAGGATTAACAAAATTTTAATCTTCAAATTTAACTAATTAACCAATTGTTAAACTAAAACAAAACAAAATGCCCTTTAAATGTGTTAATTACCATCAAAAATTAAAGAAAAGGATTCAAACTCCATTGGTTGATATTGCAAACACAGAAAAAAAAATTAACTCGATCTCAAGTAACAAACAAAATGGAAAAACATAATTTCTCATCTTCATCATCTTCATTATCATCATCATCCTAGGATTTTCTAATCACCATCACCCGATTGATTATTTAACGAAAATTGTTAAACATTAATTATTTTGATATTTAATTACCATCAACAATTTGTGTTTCACTTTGCTGCCCAACAATCAACAACCACCATCATCAACAATTAGATTTTCTTGATTGATTTTACTTTCAATTTATGTTTCGTTGGTTTTTTTTGATTGTTTCCAATTGTCAAATCAATTGTAAACTAATCAAAGTTGATTTTTGTTAATTAATTAATTGTCATCATACATACACAGCCCTTCACAGAGCACAATCAACTCTAATTATAATTAATTTTTTTACTCTAGAGATAAAAACAAAACAAACTCATCAATTGGTTATCTAAATTTATCTAAGCCAAAATCAACAATTTAGGATTTACAAATTTAACAATTAATCAATTAATCAATTGATTAACAAACTAAACATCATGAAAAACAAAACAATTGTGTAAAAAATTAATCACCATCATTGATGATCGAGGTTAAATCAATCAACTTGAATTGTAAACTGTTAACACAATTAAAGCAACAATCAACAAATAAACAAATATTAATAATGAAAAACGACAACAAACTTAACACATGAAAAACTAGGTAATAACTTGACAAATTTATGATAACAATTAAATCATTGTAACAATTGATTAATAATTTACAGCAAAGTAGCTTTTATTTTAAACACCATTGGCAATATAAGAGGAGGGAAGGGAGTGAAAAGCTTAATTGTAATTAACTTGATCGAATTGTAATTAAAATCCTCTTGTCAAATGGTTGTAATTCATATCCAATCCAATGATTTTAATCCATTGCCTTTCAATTATGTTAAATGTAATTCTTTTGTTTCCTGATAAACTCTTCAGTCTTATATTATAATAACAATTTACTGATCAATTTCTCTAAACTGAATTGTTTTACAATTGTTTTGAATTTATGCTCTAAAGGTTTAATATAAAAGTATCTTAATTTAAAACAAACGAAATCGATTGTTGGTCGGTTTTAATTAACAGAAATCTCCTTGGCAAGTTTTGATTAAGCTTCGTCCAGTTAATTCAGTAACCAAGTTTACAACCTCTGCTGGGAAAGCCGATCGTTTTTCCATTGAAACATACCAAGCTTTGACTAGAAAAGTTAATTATAACAATTAGTATCGCGACTATTTGAATTTTATGATCTACTTACTTTCAGTAGTTTTATCATCATTTTGAACACATGTTGCAAGAACAGCTGATCGATCAGAGTCTGAATAATAAGGCATCCAGAAAATACCTTGTTTACCCTCTGTTGATAGTGAAAGAGACATTAGTATTGGTGATGATCATGTTGATTAGTCTTCTTCTAATCATTGACTTACCTGGAGTAGTTACATTGAACGAATAAGGTTCATCTTCTAGATCGTAATATGATTTACCATTAAAATTACCGACGACAAAGTTGACCAATTTGTCCCAAAGAGATTGTGTTCCTCTATTAATTAATGGAAATTATTAGACGATTATCAATCATCCAATTCGATTGTTAATTATCGATTGACTTACATTTCGAGAATCTCCTGAAAAAGTAACACTAACTTTTCCTTTGTACAAGTGACCAATTGAGATTGTGTTGTAAACGGTTCTTGGGGTAGTTTCATGAGTTCGTCCGATTTCATACCAGTTTTTGGTGAACTGTTTTTTCATCAAATATTCATAATTAATTAGTTAGTAAGTGGATTGGGTCTTATTCAAATTATTTATACTTACATAACTAAAGTCCCAATCGCTGATTCCTTTAGGAATAGTTGGTGTTGGACAAGTTTCGTCCTTGAGTATTGAAGCTGCTGAAGTGGCAACAATCAGGGAAACACAAACAACGAATGACAAAGCTGATTTCATTTTTAATTAGATTGTTGAGTGTTGAAATTAACTTAACAATTAGTAAACTGATGAAATACTTTTTTCACAATGATATTAATTAATGTTTCAACTGATTCTTTATATATTCATAAAATATCAATAAAAGTTTGATAATCTGATAAGTTAAATTGTAACCGTTTCTATTATTCTAAATGGTCTTTGATCTCTTAATCAAGTTCAATTGTTAACATCGATCAATCAGTTACTTTTTTTAGATTTTCAGTTCAATCGAATACAATTCAATCATAACAGTAATAGTTGTTGCATAATCAAATTATGAAACAATAAAAGATCATCCGGCTGATTAAATGTCCAAATTCAAACCTTTCGCACGTAAATTCATCTGATAAATTCATTAGAAGATCAATTATAGAGATTCATATTTTTTCTGTAAATGTTCAAAAATTTGATCTTAAGATGAGCGTCGGTCAAAAATCAGTGCCTTTTTGTTAAATTTGTGACAATAACGAGTGAGTGACATTATGAAGAGCGCTTCCATCAAATAACAAGTCACATATTTTTAGTTTAATAGCATTTTTGTTATCAGGAACTAACCAAAGCCTAAGGCTAATATAAAAGTCGAAAATTTTATATGGTAGTCGATAGAAGTGGGTAAAGGGTCAAAATAGCAAAAGCAAAACAGCAAAGGTCAGCAAAGCAAAAGACAAAAGGGCCAAAGGTAAATGAGCAAAATTTAAATCGATTAGATTAATAAACTGTTTTTAACAATTAAATTACTTATAAAAATCTATTTAATTTTCACGATTATTTTTATCGAAAATTTCTTTTAGAATCAATTTTACCTGAACTTTCAGACTAATCACTTGAAATTTTGCAGTATTTTTTTTATTTAATTACCGAAATGAGTGATTTAATTAAATATGTTCCTTCTAATCAAGGTGGTAAATTATTGATTTACGAGCACAATGTTTTCCGGAAAATAGCATCTGTAGGTGATACATCATATTGGGTGTGTCTTAGTGAAAATTGTAAAGGTAATTTGAATTTACTTTTTGGTACAATAAAATCTAAATCAGATCACAATCATGAACCTGATATAGCCAAAATTATTGGAATCGAGCAGAAAAATGGAGTTAAGTCGATGGCCGTTCAGTCAACATACTGCAACCTAAAGTCAGTTTATAATGATGCAACGGAAAAAGTTTTTTCATCTATTCAGTTGCCTGCTGATGAAATCGCAAATGGATTGAAAACTTTTGATCAAATTAAAAAAACCATGCCCCGTGCTTGTGCTTCCCGTTTTCCGCCATTACCACGATCTCGTGGGGAGATTGATGTGCCATCTAACATTCAATCAAGTTCGACAGAAAAGTTTTTCAAAGTTTCCAATGGTGCTGATGATAAAATTCTAGTTTTTGCCACTGACACTTTTCTCAAGTTTTTATGTGAAGCAGATCATGTTTATTCGGATGGAACTTTTAAAAGTGTCCCAAAGTTGTTCTATTCTCTCTATACTCTCCATGTAATGAGAAACGGAATAATGATACCCGCTGTTTACGCACTCATACCTGATTCTACGATGCTGACTTACACCCGATTATTTCGTACTATTCAGGATCTATTTTTTGACCTGAATCTGACCTGGCAGCCGAAGAAATTTACCACTGACCAGAGGCCATAACCTGATTTTTCCGTTCTGTCAATTAAAATGCTTCTTATTTCCCTTCAGTCAAAGTATTTTGCGGAACGTAGGCAAACATGGCCTCGTTCAACGATACAAAGCAAGTGACAGAGATGTAAAAATGGCCGTAAAGAGAGCCGCTGCCCTGCCGTTTTTAATAGTAGATGCATTAGTCAGTTGGTTAAAAATTACATACAGAGAAACAATTGATTATCGATGATTGTTTGACCTTCTCCCAGGTGTGTTGGATCCATTAAAGCGCTTCTTTCAGTGTAATTTCTTGAGTCGAAGCGCATCAGAGGCGCTGGATTTTTCGAACAAGCGATTATCTAATTAACCTATTAACTGCATGGTCAACGACGAATCGATTTAGCAAAAGATCAGAAATATTAAATCTCATTTTTCATTTTTTAAGGAATTTTGCTGGTTGTGGTATCTTTTCTAAGGAGGTTATCGGAAAACAATATGGAAAAATCTTAAAAATTTTTAAAATAATAAAAAAAGAAAATTTTCTTATCAAGCTTTCATTGTAAATTAGCAATCGAGTGTTGATCAACCGACGGTAAATATCTGGGCCAAGTCTCATTTCGATGATAATCGGGTTTGTCGCTATTCTGATTAAATTTGTCGCAAAAGGTAAAACTGGTCAGGACGAAGCTAGACATCTAACTCACATCTATGCACGTTACATTTTCAACGATTTTAGGGCTCTGTATAAATTTTGGTCATCAGTCACTGGACATTGGCTAGATACATGTGTCCAGCTAGCAACGAAATTAAAACTGATTGCGCCATATAATCATTCAACTAACAGCTGAAAAAGCTGAAAGTGGAGCACAAGAAGCAGGCCGTCATGCTGTACCGTCCGTGGCAAATTTCAGAATTTCAACAATAAGTTTATACAATTGTCCAATCTTTAACGCAGTTAAATCAAACAACATCGTATTCGAAGACCCGATGGTAAAGATGATCATCACCACTGCAGTGGAGGTGGTCAACCAGATCATTAATTATGAGCTCACAATCGTTTTGGATCAAAATGACATGTAAGAGTTACCAAATAAATAATAATTCTTGCACTAATTACTGAAATACAAGGCGAGACTGTTGAGGGAAAACAATTTTATATTTGCGAATATGAAAAATGTCAAAAGTGCTTCGGAAACACTCGTTATAGAAGCGCAAACTTCTTTTCGGTGTTAATCATATAATATTTAAAACATCAAAATTAGCTGTCCTTCCTGTTACACAGCATTCAGCTCCCTTCAAGCATTCGCAAATCATCATAAACCTGAATGCCATGATACACGCATAAAACTAACTAAATTTGTCTTACAACTAGACAAATAGAAAGAAGATTTTTCTTTAACAATTTTCTTTTACCTTCCTCTGTCTTTTTCTCTTTCTATTTATACAAAATTTATCATCTTTATCTTCATTCTTACCTTTATCCTAACAATTCTAAATCTTTACAACGGTCGAGGAAAGGGTACTAATAATATTATTATTAGTCTTATCTTTGTCTCTCTTTCTCTTTGTCTCTCTTTTTCTTCACTTCTTCTCATTCTTTGGGTACTTAAACAAAACCCTTAACCATTGGAGATTATTAACAACTTAGATGATGCGTATAAACGCTGCCAAAGGATTCTCGACATAAATACTATCACACAAAACGTCCAGCATTAGCGAAAACGTCTTTTTGTGGAAAAAACGAAAATTGGTTTGGTGTACCCATATAGATTTTCAGGAAGATTATGATCATTGTTCTATAAGTTTGTATGATGCGCAGAAACATTAGCAAACGATTTTACATATAAATCACATCATATAAAACGACTAACAATTCCACAAAACCACTTTTTGTGAAAAAAACGAAATATGGTCCGGTGTCCCCATATAGGAAATTGTCACAAAATATATTTGCATGAGTTTATATATTTAAACGATGCTTATTAACATTAGTAAAGTATTTTTGACATTAAGTACATCATGAAAAACGTCTCTGAATGCCCAAAAACACTTTTTGTGAAAAAAAACGAAATATGGTGTGTCATACCCATTTAAACTTTCACAAATTTTATGATCATGGTTCCGTATGTTGAAATGCTGTTTTTTTCATTACCAAAATAATTTAACGTTATCGAATTAGGTTAGGAAGAGAATTGGGGAAGAGATTATATTTGGGGGTGCAGGGAAGGGAAACCTAATCTTTTTCCCCCTATTTTTGGCCATAAAGCCTTTTCAGCAGCTGCTCTTCAGCAGGAGGAGGCAAAGTAGTTTGGACTTTTCCGAGCATAGAGTCAGCTATGACGGCCAACTCTTGCGCTCGAGCAAAATCCTGAACGGCAGCTGCCTTCTCTATCCGTGCCTCCTCCCTAGCCTTCTCTATTATTTCGGGGCACTTCTCCTTATCATAAGGAGTAGTTACCTCGGAAAACTTTTTAATGGAGCCACCCAAACCCCTAGTTGCCTTATTGGCAGCATTCCTAGCTTTTTTGGCCACTTTCTTGGCAATCTTCGGGTCAGCAATACCCTTATGCCATTTCAGCACCAACTGCAGCTGATCTAGCTGCTTCTTTTTTTGTTATTTTTTCGCCACTGTTTGGACATAGCTATTAATCAAAAAAATAACCTAATAAAGATTGAGGATGAGTGAGTGATGAGAATGTAAAAGTGTAAGTAAGTAAATGTGAGATGGTGAAAGTGCGTATGATATGATGAGTGTCTAAATCGCAAATGACCGCTGATCAACTGATGACTTTGTGTTGTAAACAGTGGGGTTATGTTGTCAAGTTGAGGTGGGCCGTTGTCAAGGGGCTGTGGGCAAGGCAATGATGGGGCCAAAACCCAGAGACAGTGCTGCCAGAAGCGCGAAATTCAAATTTTAATTGCATCAAACGTTAAGAAGCGAGTGTGAGTGTCGTACATTGTAAATTATACTTATATTATATTTAAAGAAAGATTTTGAGTAGAATATGTAGAACTAGTTACTATTTGTTGTCATCTGGAGCAAAATATAAAAAAGTGCCATATTACTTCTTCATTTTACTAAATGTATACTTGTATACCAACAATGGTTACAAATGAGCAAAAACTATGGAACAACAGATTTCATTTCACATTCGACATAAACCATCACCGTCTGCGTCCCAACAAAACAATGTAATTTCATTGCCGTGAAAAATGTCGTGTCTAGTATCAGATAGATTTTGCGCAGCAATACCTCACCCGACAATCCAAAAGTATGTTGCCATAATTTTTATATGAACATTGTTAAAATATCATTGACTCAAAGAAAAACAAATTCTTTTCCCGAACTATACATAAGTGCTAAGTACACCATTATTCTATCTATGGACTCTATCACTCTAAACATGCATCTTGCTGTAGGCGCTATATCATGCTTTTATTTGAGAACAACATGAGTGGTTATTTGTGATTCGTGTAGACCAACAATAGTAAGGTTAGATCATTTTCATGAAAAAAATCTACAAAATCTCTTTGTAGATCAGTACAATACTACGTTACCCAAATCAGTCTCAACATTCATTTGTTAGTGAGGTAGGGTATATCATGCTTTCATTTTTTGATCAGCACAAGTATAACAGAGTGTAGTATGTAAGAAACAAGCGCATTGTTTTTTTTCTCAACAATCAAGTTAAGTATTTTTTTTGTTTCAAGTTCCTCCTCAAGTTCCCGATCCTCCAAAATGTTCCACTCCGGGGGTAATCGTTGAACCGATTTCCACGGCATCATCACCATTAATCGTCAATGACGATATTGTTCATCTTTTCGATGATAATTATTGTGAGGAGGCTCGAAGCTTGGTGACCTTCACGCCTTCTAAAAGTGATCTTGATGAACTCTTCGTCCTTTTGGACGAGAGTTCGAAAAATATGTGTTCATCATCATCATCACAATCATCAAACGATGATAATGTTTTTATAAAAAACAAATTGACTGTGTTTTCCAACTCAGTCAATAAACTTTTCGACCAAGTCGAAAAGTTAGTTCGAAACCAATAAAAAAGTTTTTCCATTAATTGTGTCTTAAAAGTGTCCAATTTATTTTTGTGTATTCGTGTTTCTTGTTCTCTTTCTTTTTCTCTTTCTTTTCTCTTACTTTTCATTTTCTCTTTCTTATCCTCTTTCTTTTTCTCTTTCTTCTCTTTCTTCTATTTCTGTGCCAGTGAAGCCTTTTTTAACTACTCAGGAGACTAATCAACCTTGATTGTTAGTGAGATGGTAAATTGTAAAGTCTTTTGTTAATAATTGAGTTCTAATAAATTGCGATCAAATCTAATGAAATGATTACTTGATAAAAAATTTCTCAGAAAAAATTGATAATCTTTAATGCTTTCAAGATTGAGTATAAAATTTGCTAATTAAAAATTAACAGAAATCTCCTTGGCAAGTTTTGATCAAACTTCGTCCAGTTAATTCAGTAACCAAGTTTACAACCTCTGCTGGGAAAGCCGATCGTTTTTCCATTGAAACATACCAAGCTTTGACTAGAAAAGTTAATTATAACAATTAGTATCGCGACTATTTGAATTTTATGATCTACTTACTTTCAGTAGTTTTATCATCATTTTGAACACATGTTGCAAGAACAGCTGATCGATCAGAGTCTGAATAATAAGGCATCCAGAAAATACCTTGTTTACCCTCTGTTGATAGTGAAAGAGACATTAGTATTGGTGATGATCATGTTGATTAGTCTTCTTCTAATCATTGACTTACCTGGAGTAGTTACATTGAACGAATAAGGTTCATCTTCTAGATCGTAATATGATTTACCATTAAAATTACCGACGACAAAGTTGACCAATTTGTCCCAAAGAGATTGTGTTCCTCTATTAATTAATGGAAATTATTAGACGATTATCAATCATCCAATTCGATTGTTAATTATCGATTGACTTACATTTCTCGAGAATCTCCTGAAAAAGTAACACTAACTTTTCCTTTGTACAAGTGACCAATTGAGATTGTGTTGTAAACGGTTCTTGGGGTAGTTTCATGAGTTCGTCCGATTTCATACCAGTTTTTGGTGAACTGTTTTTTCATCAAATATTCATAATTAATTAGTTAGTAAGTGGATTGGGTCTTATTCAAATTATTTATACTTACATAACTAAAGTCCCAATCGCTGATTCCTTTAGGAATAGTTGGTGTTGGACAAGTTTCGTCCTTGAGTATTGAAGCTGCTGAAGTGGCAACAATCAGGGAAACACAAACAACGAATGACAAAGCTGATTTCATTTTTAATTAGATTGTTGAGTGTTGAAATTAACTTAACAATTAGTAAACTGATGAAATACTTTTTTCACAATGATATTAATTAATGTTTCAACTGATTCTTTATATATTCATAAAATATCAATAAAAGTTTGATAATCTGATAAGTTAAATTGTAACCGTTTCTATTATTCTAAATGGTCTTTGATCTCTTAATCAAGTTCAATTGTTAACATCGATCAATCAGTTACTTTTTTTAGATTTTCAGTTCAATCGAATACAATTCAATCATAACAGTAATAGTTGTTGCATAATCAAATTATGAAACAATAAAAGATCATCCGGCTGATTAAATGTCCAAATTCAAACCTTTCGCACGTAAATTCATGATAAATTCATTAGAGATACAGTTAATCAATCAATATCTCAATCTTATCGATTCTTTGAAATAGTTGCCACCAGCAAGTTCTTGATAATATTAATTATGTTTCCTTAACATCAATGAATTTTATGAAACTGATGGAAAAATTTTCATTTAAGTTCTGTTAAGCAGTTAAACTCCATCCATCAAAGTACAATTAATATAATTGATCACAGAGTTTCAGATTGTATCTTAGTGTGATTTTTAATCGAGAACAATTAGCAAAATTATGTCATTAAGTTGAAATTGAATGAAAGACGGGGCGATAAGCGAAAAAGATCAACGAAGACGAGAAAATTTAGTTACAAACATAATTTATTTTCGTTTCATGTTTTATTATTTACAGTTTTTCGGGAGAGTTTAAAAGCATCTCCATCTCTAATCAATTGCTATTTAATGACCAGAGATTGTGATGATTATTTCGACATCTTTGGCGATGATGAAAGAAAGACAGATTAACATTATCAACAATCGATAATATTGATTTTGGTTGTGATGTTGATGATCATTCGGTACAGAGTAAGTTTAATCATCACTTTTCATAGATTTTCGGTAAGTTTTTTTCACTTTTTGCCCATTAAGGCCAATCAATTCTTTCCATGTATATTTTCAGCATTTCGGTGTAAAAAATTAAGAAAAAATAAAAATAATGTCATTAGTATACTTTCAGTTGAATGATAATGACCAATAAGTTAGATTAAACTTAAAGAATGATGAAAGAGACGATTGTCCATACGATGGTCAATAAAGGTTTATTGAATTTGCCGAAAATCTATCAAAAGTAGATGAAAATAAATGGAAATTTGCCAAAATTTACTTGAATTTTCTGCAAATCATCAACAGGTAGGTAGAAATATTGTTTTTCTCCATCACAAGCTATTCAATTACTCGATTGATAAAACCATTATCATGATAATTTCTATCAATATTTACCAACGATCAACACTAATCATCAACACTCTTATAACTCTTCATTAGGAATTTTCGTAGTGGTAGTAGCGGGTGTAGGGGTTGTGGTAGAGGTGGTAGAAGGAGGAGGAGTTGTAGTAGTAGTGGTGGTGGTGGTGGTCGTAGGTTCCTCTTCGGGCTCTTTAACAATTTCGAAAACATCTTGTGCTGCTTTTAATAATTCGAAAAATTTTCCCTCTATTGCTTTAGAATCTGCTCCATCAGATTCATATTCTAACCATTCTGAAGTTTTATCCAATGCTTTCAACATTTTCTCTCTCTGTTCGGGCGTTGAAGCTGCTTCATTTTCAGTGAGTCGAATCCGAGTTTCCAGGATGAAAGATTCAAGGTTATTCTTCAATCCATCTCTCTTTTGTTTCTCTTCATCTTTAGCTGAAAGTTTTTGCAATTTTTTCATTGATTCATTAACCTCGTCATCATTTGGTCCTTGTAAATCAAGTTCAATCCTTTCCACTGTCACTGGTTCCTTAATTGTTTTAATCTTAATCTCGGTTTTGGGTGGAGAAGCTTCTTCGGTACCATTTTTAATTTCTTTTTGTTCAGTACTTTCGGTATCATTGGAAGATGAATCAGTTGCGTTTGGTGTATCACTTATTTTGTCACTTGATGTTTCACCGGTTGATTGTTCATCAGACTTTGTTTCACTAGATGTTGGTGCTGATTCCTCGGAACCACCGAAAAGTTTACTAATTGTGTTACCAAATTTAGCAAAAGCATCACCGACAACATTTTCTTCCTCTTTTGGTTCAACGATCTCCTCAATTTCCCTTTCAAAAACGGCCTCAACTGTTTCCAAGTTTAATACTCCACTTTCATCCATTCGGAAATGAGCTCGTATACCTTTATACTCTTTGGTTTCATTCTTATGCTTTTCAATTGCTTCATCAACTCCTTTTACTGATATTTTGGTGATGTTGACTGCTCCAATGTTACCAATATCCTCACGGGAAAGGAAACTAAGATCACCATAGTTGATGTAAAATTCAAAATCATCAGCATGCCGACTAAATACCAACACTTTTTTAGTTGGGTAAAGGTTACCCTTGGTAAAAAGGGTTCGTTGCATTATTTTTGTCTTTTTAGATCCATCATCGACGACAATTTCTCTTGCGAAATCAACTTGAATGGGATAAAGATTTGAATCTTTAATGATAAATGTTTTCACTTTGAATCCTTTACTTAAATGAGCTGCTTGATATGCTCCCCCAAGAGCTGCTGCTTCATCGGCGTTAACACTTTTACCAAGATCGGTTATTTTAAAGTAATCAAGAAGAGCTTGTTGAACTTTAGGAACTCGAGTATTACCACCAAATAAGATGATTTGATCGATATTGTCAATAGTTAAACCAGCTGATTCCAATGCAACGATTACAGGTTTTGTAAGTCGATCGTTAAGAAGATCAGCACAAAGATCTTCAAAATCAGATCGTTTTACTGGAACTTTCAAGTCAATATCATTTAGAACATTTTCAACTTGGGCCATGTGCTCACTATTGGCGGAAAGTACCTTCTTAAGTCGACCTGCTTCTCTAAAAAGCTTGGCCATCGATCGTTTATTTGAATAAACATCGTACTTGTTGTTTATTTGTTGAGTAAAAAGTTTGGCAAGATGATCTCTTAGACGAATTTGCATCTCAAGTCCACCTAGATTACGATCAAAACCAATTCCTTTTATGGTTAATTGTGGATTAGATTCAACGAAACCTGCTTCTTTCGTTTTAACTGTTTGATAAGCGACAACAGAAGCGATAGTTGATGAGGCTCCCATCTCATAGAATAGAATATGATTTGCACTTTCATTAAAATCTTTTCTTCTAAAGGCTCCATAGTTTAAAGCTACAGCGGTATTTGTATTAATCAATTGTAAGACTTTTAATCCTGCCAATTGAACGCTACGTATGAGAGATCGTCGTTCCGCTTGAGAAAAATAGGGTGGAACAGTGATCACAGCATCTTGTATGTATTGTTTATCCCCAGAAGCAATTTCAGCATCACTTTTAGCCTTGCCAATGATCATCGCCAAAAGCTCCTCTGGAGTAAAGGCCATACCTTCAGGATGATTCCAGATAATTGTAGATTTTTCATCGTCTTTTGTAATATTGTGATACTTGAATCTATTTCTAAATAATTTGACTGCCGGTGAATCATAATTTTTACCAATTAAATCTAAGAAATAGGTAAACACTTTATCGGGAAATCTCACAGCCTAAGACAAAAAACAACAATAGAAAATGGAAAATGGAAAATAGATGACCGGTTAGAATTAATCTAAACAAAGACATGTAAAGGTAACATATTAACACTTTAAAACATACAGTTGTCATCGCTGCTTCACCAAATAATCTTTCACCATCACGGAAACCAACAGCCAATGGTGTTTTCCTTTGTGAATCAGTATTTAAAATAATCTCCATAGGTTTACCAGCTGAGACAATGGAAATTTTCAAAGATTCCGTGCCAACATCTACTGACATCACCGTCAAGCCATAACCTAAGAAAATGCAATACATTATAAATTAAGAAAAAAAATAATCATGATCAGATATAGAGAACAAAACAATTAGGATAATAAAAAAGAAATTAGAAATCTATTGAGAACAAATGAAAAAAAAAAATCCAAAAAGGATTAAGATTAGAAAACAAGAAAATTACCTTGACAAAATAGCGATGTCATCAACACAAGTAAAGACCAGACACAAATTAACCTCATGTTGATAATTAAAAAGAGTAACCTAAACACTTTAAACAATTAGAATTTGGAACAAAAAAAGAAACAATTAATTAAATAAATTTACAATTGGAATGACAATTAAGAAAAAAGAAATTGATTACGAAAGAAATTAAATGAAAAGATTGACTTGGCATAAACTGATTGGTCGATCGGTTGGAGATCCGGCGACAGAAACTCCACCAGATGTCACCACTTGTGGAAAAGAATAGAAAATGGATTGGGGTTGGAAAAGAATCCACCAGATGGCGCATCGAATAATAGGTTATGGGGTTGGAGTTTTTTTATTTAAAATCGAAACATTAAAAGTGAAAAACTTTCGTTAGTTTTTTTGTTGTAAATTGTTTTCGATTCGTAAACATCGACGAGTAAACGACGAAACGAAATACGAAAAGTTTTATTATCATTTCCACCATTTAACTGGTTGTAGTTTAGTTTGTTAATTGTTCATCACTTGTTAATCATCATCATCATTATGCCAATTCATCATCATGGTATAACTCAGAGTCAAATAACTTTGACAAGTTCCTTGGATCATGAAAAGTTCAGGTAAGTCGATTGATTAATTTTCCACAATTAAGACTAATCTTCTATTCTATCTAATGAGAATCATATTAATCAAAATGCTACCAAATTGAATTTGATGATGAAAAGAAAGTGATTTCATTTATTTCGAGGTATCAACAATATTAGATCAAGTTTAATTGTCGATGGATAAATCTTTAATTAACCAGATAAATCAGCTAATCATTTGATAAATTGTTGTGATGATCATCAATAAGGAGGTTAAACAATTAACAACAATTTGTTTCCGGTAAAATAATTTTGTCGTTTAAGTAAAAAAAAAATCATAATTCTAATCATTAAAAACTTTTATTTTTATTTAGCCTCAAGGTAAATTAACAATTATACTTAATCAACGATTATCTAAATTAGTAAATTGTAAACAGGACAAATAGTGAACGTGATTATGAAGCAATTGATAAGAGAAAACAAAAATTGCTAAATTGTTAAACTAAATTAACTATTTGTTTGTGGTGAATTTGAATTAGTTAATATTATCCATTGATTGAGAAAAAAAAAGTTAATTGTTACAATATAATGATAACCTAATCACCATTTAACTTGTAGATACTTGTATTAGTTTTATTGTATCTTTTTTGTTTGTCAAATTAAAAGTTGAGAAATTAATTGTTACCCAAATTAATTAACAATGTAAATCATGTAATGTATGTATGTGTTAATCGTTAATTGTAATATTTAGCTTAATTTAATTTTCTTTCTGTCACTAATCATTTGACTTTCTCAATGCGATTTCAAAGTGATTAAAACTTGTCGTCCCTTCATCTCACCAAATGTTAATCTTTACCTTTAATTAAATATAATCAACAGGAAGTGATAAACAATTTAGGACTCTGATTGTTAATCATGATTAAATTGTTTCTCATAATAATTTTGCTGGGTCTTCCTGTGATTTAATAAGACTCATATTCAGATAATGTTATTATTATTTCATATTAATTGATAAACATGATTAGTGATTAAAATGATTTCCCAATGTGTATACTTATTTAATCACGATTATGTTAATTGTTTGACAACATGAAATCAACATTATTATTATTTTAAATGTTTCATGTTTCTTGTTTCAAAATAATCAACAACAATCAACATAAATTGATGATTCCCTGTTGATATTTAATGATAATCATCAACATGATCAACATAACGGTTGTTTGCCATCAGAACAAAAAAGTTTCATAAATTTCATTGACTTAAATTGTTAATTTGTTATGACACAAATCAATTTAACCCGATAAACATGATTAACATTATTCCTTTTTAATTGTTACCTCTTTCATTCATTTTGTTTTTCATTTCAATTAATTATCTTTCAACAATTAATAAATCGCAATTCCTATCTATAGATCATCTATCAACATTATAATATCATCAACAAAATTAACATGATTTATTTCAATCAAGTAACAAATTTAATTGATTGATGTATGTGGTTTCTTTTCAAGTTAATTAAATTGCTCATAACTAAATCAACTAGTTTGTTAATTTGACAAATTTAGGGAATAAGATTTGACTTTTTTTCCCTATTTGATTAACAATAATAATCAACAACCCGGACGTGATTGGATTTACTAAATAAGTGAATTAGATTGATTTTTACATCTTTCTTTTCAATATTCAATTGTGCAATTAAATTGCACACAAACCAAATTTAGTTAATTAGTATTCAAAATGATCAATATTTTGATAATTGAATCAAATGTTTTTCCTAAATGATTTTGGTAACAAAAGTAAACAATTTGTATTCAACAACAACCTACACATTTACAAACAATCAACTCAAGTCGATGAGTTAAATCAAAACGTTTCAAGTTACTTTCATTTCCTAATTGTTAACTGACAATCAACAATCAACATTTTGTCTGTCAACAATCAACAGTAGAAGAAGCAAAACAAAAAATCAACAAAATCCTCGATTCCCAACAATCAAAATTTGCGACTTTTTTGTTCATTCATCATCATTTTAGATTATCAAATGATTATGATTCTCAATCTGATCCTTAATCCGATTTTAATTTTGTTCGTAGAGACACAAATTTCTGATTAAATTGTTTCATCTACAATTTAAAATTTTTCGCATTATTATAATTAACCTTAAATGATTTCACCTTTAATTGTTAAACTAATTGTTAGCAGGGAAATTAACATCAGGGTAACGGGATTGTTACTCATCTCCTTATTTGATTAATTTTACCTGAAGATGATTAAAGTTGATTGTTGATATATTATTATTATTGTATCAACAATATATAATTATCCATATGTAGATTGTAATTAAAATGTCATCAGAAATGATTACTGATTAATTAAAGTTGAAAATTACATAAGGTTAATTGTATGTATCATCTTTGGATTAACAATCGTACACCCAAATCTAAATTGTTGGTGTAATTGTTAACTTAATGATGAAATTAAATTAAATCCTACCACTTTTAAAACTCATTAATACAGTATAATGTTTTAATCGGATTAACTGATTTAGTAATTGTCTCTTTTTTATCAACTAATATATTTACACACTCATCCTTTAACCAGGTAGTTGATTAAGTTAATCATTGTCATTGGTTCCTGATTCAAATCCTGACAATTAACAGCAACAGCAACAAAAAATATTGCAACAATTTAAATCATCATTAACCATTAGCATCACAAGTGATTTGTTGATTGTTAATTAAATCGCGAAAACTTGAGTTCCTAAATTGACAATGTAACAATTAACAATCATCACTTCAAGTATCATTGAAATCTAATAATTTCATCCGATTCCCTGTTGAATCAATTAAGTGACAACAATTAAAAGTTAATCAAATTGTTGAAAATTTCAGACTTTTGATTGATTAGCTTTTTTTTGTCAATATCGATACAATTAATTATCATTAATCAATATACTAGATCAAGGTGATTAAATAAACCTCAAAATACCACGAAAATAGTTAGTGAAAACAATTAATTGTAGTTGGAATTGAAAAAATTAATCTTCCTCATATCACAATTAACTTAATTGCTACTATTTTTTTACTCTTGTTTACATTGTGACTTTTTTTATTCTGATTGTTGTTGTCATATTTATGTCAGGCTAATTTGTTGATTGTTGATTAACTTTTGCTTCCGGATTTTTAAATCAATCAATGTGTCGATAAATTTAATCCAGTTGATTAGCCAAACCTTTGTTTCTAAATCAGTTTAAATGATTAAAGTCAATTTATATTTAGATTTGGAGGAATCAAAAGTTTTGATGAATCGATTTTTTTTTCAATTAGCAAAAAAATGATTCAAATATTTAGTTGATTTAATAACCAATCAATTAATTGGATGTAAATTGGAAAAATTTTAAACATTTACTATTAATTGTCTATTAACTAAGGTAGTTAATTAATCCAGTTAATTACCATAATAGTTAATTGAAAAAGGGAGAGGGACACTGAGTATATTAATTATTAGATTAATAATTTTCATGGTTAATTTGATTAGTTAGTTTAATTATCTTGTCTTTATTTGGTCAACCGTTCACAATGTTTAATCAGCTAAGCTTTTACAACTGGATAATTAAATAATTAATCAGTAATTAGTTGTAATTAACTTTTGGTTTGATTTGTTTCAAGTTTTCAAAACAATGATTAACATTTTTGGTTAATCTTTGATTACGAACGGGATTATAATCACAATTAAATAACAACGACAATAAGAGAGAGAGAGAGACATTATAATGAACACAATTTAGTTAATTACTCTACTAATCTATTAATCAGTTTTAGGATTTACCCTGGATACTAATACACAAGTTAATTAATTATCAGTGTTTGTGTTTTATGGGATGACAATTAATCATAATTAGTATATCAACCTTGATATTATTTTGATTTGGTTATATAATCGATAACAATTTTGACAATTAAGTTAATTTATTTCGATTTTTTCTCAAATAATCTGAGTCCAACTATACAGAAATTGTCAACAAAGTAAATGATTAAATCGTTGATTAAATCCCTACCCATTAAGATTATCATGATTAACTAATTGATTTATGGGTTTTTGTATTTTTCTCATATTATTATTTCAAGTGAATAGAAAAACAAATTTTGGTTAGTTAACTAACCAGTTTACCAATCATAGGTAACAATTTAATTATCGATAGTTAATTAACAATCAATTTAGAACGATATTAACAATCGGAGTGATAGAAAGACACAAAACAATTAACCTAATCATTTTAATCCAACATCAACAAGATCAACTTGATTGTTCAGATTATAACTGATTATCCAAACAGTAATAATGATAAATGTATTAATAGTTAAATCGTTTGAATATTTGATTCATTTTGAAGATGATTTAAAGCTATTGGAAGACAATTAATCAACATTTAGTTGATTGTAAATTTTAAAAGGTGATAATTAAAAAGTTCAATTGTTATAACAGTTTAATGAATGGGAATGAAAAACAATCAAGAAAGTATTTTAAATACGCTAATGTTATTATCGAGCAATCAATTTGTAATCAAGCTTGTTAAATGTTCAGATAATCATGTCAATATCATTAAAATCATCATTAGAATGATTATCTTGAT